TGTGGGCTTTTTTGTATATGTGAGACAACAATGCTAATGAAGATGCAGCCATGAGTATACAGAAATTAGCAAGGGTGCCCCGAAATTTTTCAGCCGCACTGGAAAGACAGAATGATGGCCAGGACTAATTTAGAGTTTAATTTTTTTGCAGTAATTATTCCGGCTGTTTATTTAAAAACCCATTTGTGAAATGTAATCTTGGAATAAAACTGACGCAGTTAGTGATTTTTATGCGTTTTTGCATATATGTAAATTGCAAAAACGCATATTGGGAAGAAGCTGTGTGTGTGTGTCTGTGTGTCCGTGTGTTGGCACTTTTTGTCACCCACTTTCAACTCGAGAACCAGAAAAGCTAGAAGGCTGAAACTTTGGGAGTATGTGCCATGCCATGCTCGACCCTCCCGTTTTAATATCATCCCCTGCGGACACCAGGGTGCGGCCAACGGACGCTTTAAAAAAATATGCAAATTTTTTGGCGGGAAAGCGATCTCGGGGGCCACATGAGCTAAGGGGCTGAAACTTTGTAGGGATACATCGTGTGCATGTATTAGCTGAAGATTTCAAATTTAGCCCACAGGTATGCGTGGTACTCACGTAAGAGCGTATGAAAGTTTTAGGGTGAAAATTGCTAACTCGAGTACCAGCAAAGCTAGAAAGCTGAGATTTTGGGATTGTGTTCCGTATCCAAATACAACTCAAATATTTCAAATTCAGCCCCAAGCTATGCATGCTACTCACGTAAGGGCGTATGAAAATTTTAAGGGGAAAATTACAAACTTGGCAACCAGAAGAACTGAAAGGCTGCAATTTTAGGCCGATGTTCCCTGTCCACGTGCAATTTAAAAATTTCAAATCCACCTTTCCAGGCACGTGGAGTACCTAAGTACGGGCATGTGAGGGTTTTGACGCGAAAACCTCTAACTCGGTAACCAGAAAAGCTAGGAAATTGAAGTTTTAGGGGGAAGTTTCCTGTCCAAGTACAAGTATTTCAAATTCAGCCTTGAGGTATGTGTGGTTCTTACGTACGGGCACTTAAAATTCTTAACGAAAAAATTTTTCACTGAACAACTAGGTTACTTTTAAAGAACAACTGTTAAATGGAAATTGTACGTTTACTTTGCAAAATTCATGGTGATTTATGTTAGTGACCGCAAAGGGTAGGTATAAAGCAACAGCCATTCATACAGTTAATGAACTGAGTAATTCAAGTTCGGTGCAAAGACGTATGATCGAACGGGGCCGCCCGGTGCGTTCCAGCCGGTTCATTTTTATTTATGCGTTTTTGCCTATAAAAAAAAAAGAAAAAAACAAACTGCAAAAACGCATATTGCAAGAATTCTGTCTGTATGTATGTGTGTGTGTTTTTCTGTCCGGGTGTTTCAAATTGGCAGCCAAGCAAGCTCCGGCGCCAAAATTTTGCCAGTTGGTTTCCTGGTCAAGTGCCACCCTAGGACCGCGGTACCAACTCTCACACACGTCTGAGCCCCGCGTACGAGAGAGTGAAATTTTTGGCCAGAAAATTGCTGACTCGGGAACGAGAAAAGATTGAAAGCTGGAATTTTAAGGTTATGTTCCCCGTCCAAATACAACTCAAAGATTCCAAATTCAGCCCCCAGGTGTGCGTGGTTCTTGCGTACGGCCTCTGAGGTTTCCTGGAACGAAAATCGCTAATTTAGGAATCAGGAAAGCCAGGAGGCTTAAATTTTAAGGGGGATGTTCTCCGCCCTTGTGCAATTTAAATTTACCAAATGCAGCCTTCAGACATGCATGGTTCGCACGTACAGCCCCGTGGACTTTTTTGGTGGGAAAATGGCTAAATCAAGGACCAAGAAAGCTGGGGAGCCGAAATTTTAATAGGTTGTTTCCCGTCCATGCATAACTTAAAATTATTAAATTCAGCCACCAGACATGCACGGTTCTTAAGTTCGGCTCCGTGGAAATTTTTGGCGGGAAGAATTGCTAACTCGGAAAAGAGGAAAGCTGGAAGGCTGATGTTTTGAGGGGATTTTCCTAGTCCATATACAACTTAAGGCTATCAAGTCTGCCCCCAAGTATGCGTGGTTTTTATGTACGGTATCGTGTAATTTTTGGGGGGAAAACGGCTAATTCGGGAAGCAGGAAAGCTGGGAAGCTGAAATTTTAGGAAAATATTCCCAGTTCAAATATAACTTAAAGGTTTCAAATTCAGTGTTCACGTACGCGTGGTTCTCGTGTACGGGCACTTCAATTTTTGGCGGGAAATTACTCACTGAACAGCTGGGTCATTTTCAAAGGCGACCGCTAAACGAAAATCGTTCACTTCAGTTTATACAAAATTTATGATGATTTACGGTATTGAGCGCGCAAGGCAGGTGTGAAGAAAGAACCATTTAAGTTTGATGCAAAAACGCATGACCGCACCGGCCCGCCTTGTGCATTCCAGCCTGGTTTTTATTTGGCTTGCTTAGTACTACTTGGAGAAACTGCAGTACATATCGGTCCATTTAAAATGGCATTAACGTCAGAGGCCTCGCAGTATTAGCTGATTATCAAAACAAGTGATCGAAGGCAAAGGATGTCTTTGGCCACTTGCTTCGCGCTGCATCCTTGTAGTTTCCGACTTAAATTCATAGTACTACAGTGTTCTTTGCCAAGGCAATAAAAAATCCACGTTTGCAGAGCCGAAATGAACAGCGAAAAAATGAAGACAAAACGGCTGAAGGGCTTAAGAGGGTAAGAAGCGGATAACATAGGAGGCTTCGATTCGTAAAGTCCTGAGTATATTCACTTAGCATCGAAAACGGAGCTCATAGCAGGACGGTTGTCGTATTAATT